CCCCCCCCCCCCCCCCCTTTTCTCCTCATTACAGACTATGTCATTCCAGTCACCTGCTATCATCCAACATTGCCCCCATTTAACCTTACTCTCTTCAAGAAATTCCCATTGATGAGTTCTTTCCCTTCTATCTGTGCTCAGATACACAAAAACCAACCAACATCCAGCTGACATATTAGGCCCTCTCACTTCCACTTGACAGCAGAACTCATTCCCCAGAATTTGGAGAACCTCAATATTAGGGTCCCATAGAAGCAATAGACCACCTCTTGTCCCAATAGGTTTTTCCAAATGCCATCGATCCTGGAATCCCAATTTCCTACACACAGTCCGAGTAAACTGAACAGATTTCTTAGTCTCAGATAAAAAGATAATATTTGGGTGATGGATTCTCCTCGAATCCTTGATCTGGGAAACTGTCGAGGGCCCACCCAATCCTCGACAGTTCCACACCATGACCTTCATTGGTCACACTTGGGCCATTTTTGGCTGGCCTTCTCCACCAAATATTGTCCACCATTTCCTTTCATTCGCTTCTCAGAACCTCCTTCTGCTTCTGGTTGGCCCCCCTCATAGATTACCAGAGCTCTACTTCTCTTCATAGAACCTTTTTCATGATGTGTGCAGTAGGTTTCAGGGATAGAGATCACATTCCTCTTTGATGGTACTCTTCTTCTCCACCCAATAGCTGGCTTCTTTCTCAGATTATATTTACACACAGGTCTCTGACCAAAACTCTCAGGAACTGCCTTGTCTGTCTGTGTTTCTTCTATTATCATTGCCTCTTTACCAGAACCACCCGCTTCATGTTCAAAACTCTTTGAAAGCTGTTGACACCCAACATTCCCCAAGCTTTCCCCTGGTTGTTTAGAACTAGCTCCCCTAGCCTCATTACTCTTTATTTGCTCTGGCCCTACCCCATTTTGGTTAGCATTTGCTGATACCCATGATTCCTGAATAGGACTCCTATTAGGTGTAGAATCCTTGTCATCTGGACTGTCGGACTGCAAACTTCTACCCCCTGGATATGTCTCAGCAGTCTTTAGCCACTCACCAAATTGACCAGCAACGACACAATCATTTTCAATATCTTCTCCCTTCTTGATACAATTCCTCTCCAGATGCCCAATCCTCTCACAATAGTAGCACAGGTTGACAAGCTTCTCATATCTGAACATCACCATTGCCCTTTGAGTCCCCAACTTAATAAATGTGCACCGAGGGATAGCCTCATTGATATTAATAACCACCAGCAGCTTCAAAAAGCTACCCACATCTCCCCCAACCTTGCAGACAACCACATTCTTAACTTTGCTAAAAATCTTACCCACTTTCAGACCCACTTCATTACTCATCCAATTTAAGGGCACATTCAACACTTGGACCCACAAGGTTATCTCCTCAAAACAACAGTGCTTGCTATGTAGACCCGGAAACCACTCTTTTAAGATTAGATATTGGTTTTCATACATCCAGTTAAAACCGGCAGCCACTTTCTTCTTATCCTCTTGAGATAGAAAAATGAATTGGAAGAAATTTGCACTGATTTCCTTGACCTCCATAGTATGCTGCAGTCGCCAGATTGCTCCCATCATTCGTTTAATGCCCAGCAGCCCTGCGTGCCTATCACCCACTACCTTACCAAAAAGACTCCGCGCACACTCCTCTTCACTGGCTATAATGTCATCCTCTTTGATGTCCACATCACCTGCTTCCTTGGCTGATAGCGACATCTGTATTAATTTTCGCAAAACCCCTTCATCGACTTCCCTAGCATCATTACCCCCCGGATCTTTGCCCTCCATTTCTAGACCGGCGCTTCACCCCTATCGTCCCCAACGAAACCTAATCCCACAATATCGAAATTTGATTGAAAACCTCCCAAATCCCTCACACGAAGGAATTCAGCTCTCACCCAAGAAAATTTCGCTCTCACCCAAGATAATTTCGCTCTCACCTGAGAGAATCAACAATTTTTTTTTTATTATTATTATATGTAATTTAAACTGTGCAAAATTACATAAATGTGTCTATTTAAATTAGTACACAACTCGTACAGTGCACTAACTGATAACAAATTATATTATATTCCTTTCAAAATAAGTGTCATTATAAAAAATTTTATTCACAAATTAAAATAAATATTTTGGTAAAATTTTATCATATATCTAAATATCTTTATAAATAATAAGTACAATTATAAAATCATTTATATGTATATATGATTTTTTAATATCATCTATCATCTATCAATATTCAATACTCTAATTAAAATACAATATCACAAAATTCAACGATAATACGGCCTAATTACCAATTTCACTTTTAGGCTTAACATATTTAACAATGTCATAAAATCATATATATATATATATATATATATATGATTTATTTTAATTATTATGATATATAACAAATTCTAAAACTGAATGGAATGCATATGTGGCACATATTTATTTTGAATTAATTTAAATATTATTAAATTAATTACATAACTAAATAATATTAATGTAAATTAAATATTTATCATTATATATATATATAATGATAAATATTTAGTTTACATAAAGAATTTTACTTTTGAAAGTGTTATAAATAATAATAATAATGACACTATACGATTTTGAAAGAGTTTGTTGCTATTCCGTTGCTATTTACTAACGGAATAATCCGTTGCTAATACAATATTGAATGTGTCTGTTGTTATTTGCCAACGAAAAAATTTTGTTGCTATTTACCAACGGAATAGTCCGTTGCTATTACAATTTTGAAAGAGTTTGTTGTTATTCCGTTGCTATTTGCTAACGGAAAAAATCCGTTGCTATTTACCAACGGAATAATCCGTTGCTAATACAATATTGAAGGTGTCCGTTGCTATTCTGTTGCTATTTGCCAACGGAAAAAATCCGTCGCTATTTACTAACCAAATAGTCCCTTGCTATTATAATTTTGAAAGAAATTGTTGCTATTCCGTTGCTATTTCCCAATGGAAAAAATCCGTTGCTATTTACCAACGGAATAATTCGTTGCTAATACAATATTGAAGATGTCCGTTGCTATTTTCCAACGAAAAAAATCCGTTGCTATTTACCAACGAAATAATCCGTTGCTAATATAATTTTGAAAGAGTTTGGTGCTATTCTATTGGTATTTTGTTTGTATTTACTAATGGAATATTTTCGTCACTATTTGCCAACTGAATATTAATATATAATTTTCATTGCTATATTTTGTTAATATTCTATTGGTAATCCGATTATAAAAATTGTATATATAATGCATTACTAATCCGTTGGTAATCCCCAACGGAAAAAAGTTTGTTGGTATTTTTGTTGGCATTTTGACAATTTCTTGTAGTGATATCATTTTTTAATCATGCTTGGTCCCCGCACTTGACACCAGACGTGTGTTTTAAGCCACCACCGCCAATAAAACCGATAATCACAATTAACAAACGCAAGGAAAATTTCTGCTTGGAGCCATCTTTCATCCATGGCAGCAACAACAAACAGGTAAACTCATGATGTTTGTTCCAATTATGTAGTTAATTTTGTTTATTTTATGTTAAAGAGTATGATATTTTAATTTGAAAGTATGAATATATATGTTCAAGAAAAAGTATAACTGCTTATCCTATAGATCATTAGATCTGCCCAATAGTAGTCTTACTGCAAATTTGATTGGAGATGATTCCATATATATTTGTTAAAATCAAGAATTCAATATATGGTGTGATTGAATATAAGTTTTGAAGTATAAAAATAAAATTGACTTGGTAAATTTTTATTTTTTTTTCAAAAGTGTGATAAAACACCAAGTTGAAATATGTGTTAAAAATAAATTAATAACAATATTGTTAATTTTATGTTATTTCGTCTCAATTTTTGTGTACATACATGAACAGACTTGCTGTTGTAACTGGAGCAAACAAAGGCATAGGATTTGAGATATGCAGACAGTTATTGTCTGAAGGTGTGAAAGTGATTTTAACAGCTAGAGATGAGAAAAGAGGACTTGCAGCTGTTGAAAAGCTCAAAAGCAGTGGCTTTAATACTAACAGTATTATATTCCATCAGCTGCAAGTGACAGATTTAGCAAGTATTGTATCACTTGCTGAATTTGTTAAGTCCCAATTTGGAAAGCTTGATATCTTGGTATGATCTATATTTTTTCATACAGAATAAATTGTTCCACTTCTCCAAACTTCATAGTCTCAACTATATATATATCTTTTTAAACTAAAAAAAAAAAAAATACTAATATCAATATTGTGAACCTTAATTAAAAAAATAATTGATCCAAAATTGCAGGTAAACAATGCAGGGATTCTTGGACTCACAATGGATGAGGCTGGCCAGAAAGCTTGGGCTGCCCATGGGGTAAATCTCCACAATTCTGTTGTTATTATTATTTTTTTTTTTCAAAACTTAATTAACTGGGCCTTTTCTATAAATACTCCAAATCTTGGGCAGTTTCTCTAATTTTTCTTTTTTCTTTTATGTGTGAGTGTAGTTTGGACCAAATGTCAACTGGGATGACTTGAACATGGTACAAACCTATGAACAATCAGTAGAATGTATTCAGACAAACTATTATGGCGCCAAAAGTGTTACAGAAGCACTTATTCCTCTGCTTCAGCTGTCTGACTCGCCGAGGATCGTCAATGTTTCGTCCGGGGCCGGCAAGCTTCAGGCACGTATCGTATATTTTCGAAAAGTTTTCGAACGAAAAAAAAAAAAA